GCGGCTAAACCAAGAATCCTACGTAACGTAAAGTAAAAAACAGTACAACCCGATTAGTGAACATGTGGTACGGGACCAAGGAATTGATATTTTTGACCAAGTGATGCGCTTGCAAACAATGGCAAGTGATAAAGCATACTATAATTTTGTAGCTGCAATTTAGAATTATTGTACCTATTATAATCATGTTATAATAATTGAAGGTAATAATCGATAAGTTTAATTGACTAACGTTGATTAATCGATTGTGACTGGCTAAATTAATATTTATGTAGTAGTTGTATTGATATTACATTATTCATTTGTATTTACTATACTTGTTACTGTACAGTATTATACATTGTTATTGTATTATATATTATATTATTATATATATATATATTATATATTATTATGTTATGATAATTATTGGTTATATATACTTATGAAAATTGTGTAATATTAGGGACGAAGAATATAGAGTTTTATTCGGGATTAACAGTGCGGGTCCTTCGTAATCATCAATATGTGTTTCGGGCACCTTGCTCGCTACACTGTGTTTTTCTATCGCCTCTGGTTGTACATGTTGACTTGCTTCAGGTGTAAGTTCGCTCTTGTTTATTCCCAGCCGATGAGTAACAACATCCGCTCAGTCGGGATGGATCTACCATACACAGGTTAATTCACGTTCTATCAACTAATCTCTGTAAGTTTAGCTGGATGCGTCGTCTTGCCGTTGCACTCACGCATGTTTGTCCCATAGAATTAAAAGAGAAAATGGATTATTCACATTTCTTCATGCCTCACAATTGTGAGTTATTAGTGTACCATCCTGAGCAGATAGATGAACCGTAAGTCAAGTCACGCTTGTATTAGTGAAAAGATGGTGCTTTTGGTTCGGTTCTAACCCGTTCGGACTTAGACAAACATCCATTTCATTAGTTCTTCCATTGGATTATGTGGCAGGTGACAATATTCTGCTACACACACCCATGTATGGTTAAAATTGTTAGTTTCTTCAAGAGAATGACTGTTTTGCTTCGAATTACTAGCTTCTTGTGTTTGCTAAACTTTTTTTAGCACAGAACTCCTGAAGTAATCCAGATACCTATTTGATTATGGGGGTAAGATATTAAGGTGAAATGCTTTGCCCACGCGAGCTATTTTCTAGATATCTTATGATTTGAAGCATTTAGAGCCGACTGACACGTCAGCATCCCAGGAAGGTTTTGATGAAAGGCAAGCCATAAAGCCATCAGTCGTTTTCCAGATCCTCTTGAAGCGATTTTCGAACTCCATATAGAAACATGTGAACGCCAAGCACACTCTCGGTTGGTCTGGTTGCTCTTCTTTTGTTCGTTTATGCAGGTGAACGGTCGCGAAATTCCTCAAAAAATCACTATAAAGTCAAGATAGTTATCTTATCTATTTAGTTTACTTATTTAAGAGGAAGTGTTCCCAAGTTTTAAGTAGTACGCGTGTGCATGAGTGACGCAAAGTCCGTTTCAGATTTTGCCCCGCTACTTGGTAATTCGTTGTGCCACAATGCGTAAAACCTGTCTGACAGAAGCCAGGTCCATGTAACAGGTTTGTACGGGCTACTATCTATGTTACCTTGGTGGAGATCCAACTATCCACACGAAGTCCTTCTTCCCCCTAATCCATAGGTTTTGAACCTCCTGGAGCTGTATAAAAAGTGTATTGGTCGATGTTCTAGGAGTCCAACTTATATCAACAGATCTCGGTCGAAAATTGTAAGTACCACCCAGGTTAGGTCACAAAAATTGTCATCCACCCAAAATACGAATAGCTGGGCAATCTGATTTGTTGTTTGTCCAACGATCAATCATCGAGTTAACTGCTTTTCAGCAAGTTTTTCAGGGCATGGCCTAATTCGTACTCTCAACAATAAACTTTAGGAATGCGTCTTGAAAACCTACCTACTGGAACGTATTATGTCAAAGTTTGATTAAAAAATCCTATCATCCTAATGAGAGACAGCAACATGACTGTCGACAATGATGCTTTACCACCGTACAACCACAGATTTCACCCAATTACGTTTGAAGCCTTGAATTACAAAGACGAGAAAAGTGCGGCTTAGAGATGCCACCTAGCTTATCGTAAGAGTTCTGAGATGTCCGTAGTTCTAAGCGCTCAGTCAGATACTCTGAAAAGAAACTGGCAGAACAAAGGCCACCGATATCGATCAGTTGCCATTTCTTGTGATGTCCTTAGCAAAGCTCGGGGGGTTCACGGGGACTACTTACTGAAAGGCGGAACCACACAAACAGCATTCACGATCTTCGTAATCGCTTTTACACCCTTCCACCAAATCATCTGTTGTCGACCTCGGGGTTAATGCCATTCTGTAGAAGGCTGGTAGTGCTAATTGTTCCGTGGGATTAATGTGACTACGGGGTAACTTAATTCCCCGTTTTATAATTATCTCGTTATGAATACATTGATGCCACCCGAAATCAGCACTGATGATCGAAAACTTGAAGACACTTTAAATCTTCTATCAGCATGGCCATGTCTTGCAACCATGCAGCAATAAAGCACTTACTGCCGCCTGGCACGCGTGACCCTTGAGACCCAGTGAAATTTATTTTGGATTCCACAAGCAAGCAAGGTGAATCAGCAAACTCGGCTCGAGCCTTTGAGTTTCGCGCACTCAAAAAGATATCTTTGATAGACAGTACAACTTTCGAAGTATGTAAAGTGCTTCACAACATCCAAAGCTTCTCCTCGAATTATAAGTGGCATATTCAGATAGTGTATGTTTTGGTGTAAGGTTTGCACCACGATGGTGCAACGTACGTGCTGAGAAATACTATTATGGTCGTCAATTTATTCAACAGAGCTTGTTTTCTGCGTAATCCAGATGGACAAATTTCTCACCAGAAACGAGTTGAACATTAAGGTTTGAAAAACCATCCAGTCTTCTCATTATTTCATTCATGACAAAGCTGTACAAGAATGGTGTAATTGGGCATCGGAAGGCTTTCACATATCTCGCCATACACTCTCAAACTCCCAGAAAAAAAGGAAAAATCGGGTGGAAAACTTTTCGTCTCTGTAAACCTCTTGGTATGAGGTATTCAATCATTCGTCATTGCCATCGATTTCAGTCTCCTAGAGGCTTACCCAAGTGCATGATCTCATCAGAAGTCCGACTGTGCTACTGAGTAGCAGAATCGCTCGAACAGGCCACCTTGTTAAACTCCGTTTTGAAATAATCTCGTGTATTACACGTTCTGCATATTGTGTAAACAGATCATGTGGGGCACGCACATACCGACGTTTGTCGATCACACCACTATCAAAGTTGATGAGTAGAGGCGACAATGGCACTCATATAATTCGCCTTTGAAGTTTCTGACCGAGCGCAGAGATTGCTTGAATCACGTTTCCTCGTTTGGTAGCAGTGAAACTCCTGAACAATTTTCACGTTGCGGTTCCATAATTCGTGAGTAAGCTGGAAATCACTAACGTTCCCATTGCTTCAAAAAATAGGGTAGTTACTATTGTGCATCCTTCATCTTTCAAGACAGACTATTAGGTATTCGTGAACATTAGGACTCTTCTTGTGCCAACTGGGAATTGTTTGTTACTTTAGCTTCGTAGGAGACAACAGACGATATGTGAGAGTGAGGTTCTTCCCATGTGTAAGTTTGGCATTCCATAGACCATATTAACAATATTTTACAGACTCCTTTCTGCTGTATTCTAACAAACTGAAAGAATCTTGAACAGCCGAGCGTACTGACTGATCGATTTCGCCCGGCAGTCAAGAATGCGCCTTTGCTTATTCGCTCACCGTCTTCTCACGTGAATGTTGTGGGGAACATTAGCAATCACGCTTTTAAGACCAAACACAATCACCACAGAGAATGTGATTTGTTTGTTGGTGTGAATAGCCTAGCGTGGGTATATATACGAACTCACTAAACAGCATAAACAGCTATTTACTGGAATGAGCAACGAAAGCTGGAACACGCTTGCGATTAAATAAACTTGGACCTGTATGAGCTACTCGTTCCTTAATGAGTAGTTAGCCTTACAAATGTGTTTCTTAAACCCAGTCTAAGCCATAAGCTACCATCTTTTTCAAAAGACCCTTTGCCCGGCATCGTTACAAGGACGACCAGTAGGTCGCACGACCCCTACCGTGCAACTCGAAGAACCTGTTGTTGATCATTATGGAGCGCAGAATCCTATTCTTTTTGGGTGTAGTGCACTCAGTCTTACCTTTGGCTGGCTCTATCTTGTGTACAACAAAGGTTGCTATACGTAGTATGTGACTCATTTTCCTAGAAAAACTGGTATGACACCTCGCACACATCCAAATTTGGTAGCTCAGTTGTGTGAAAGCTTGAATATCCCGCCATGTACACCAACTTTCAAGCCTGGACCTTCCAGAGGGTATCTGCTGTAGTTGGAAAGTATTTTCCTATCCATGTGAATCCCATCATGGATCTATTCATAAAGAAAGTCTCACTAGGCTAATCACAAACTTGCCTACCCACATCCAGGTGGATTTTTTGTCATTTTGATGATGCGTCGGCAGACTGCTTTAAGCTCACCGCCCACAAATATCCAGACCGGCTGGTTTAAAAATGAGCACATTTTGAGGATGATTCGTCCAGTACAGGATAGCGGTCCCACATACGTCCGCAAGGACAATTGACCTCATGTGGTACCCTTTTTCGTAGACAATGTATTATGCTGGACAAGAGTCTATTTTGAATATGATAGCCTTCTGGGATTCCATACGCCCCGCGTTTAGTCTCTTTTCCGAAAGATCTTTTTAGATGATTTTCTAGTGATAACCTTATTACTTTTTGACGCTTTTAGAAAGTTACAGTAATCACAGTGAGAACGTCGGGGTGGGAACAATATCCCTTCCGACGAAGTGAAACAATTTCCTTGCGCGCACAAAAAAGAATTTGGTTTGCCGCCGAAACCGACATTTATCCCTTCCTCTACTATCTATCTACTGCACTTTACCTCGCCAGGTGTCAAAGAGTATTCTTGTGGACGATGCAGTAAGAGTTTTACAACAAAGAAATACCTCCGGTCTCACCTGAAGACGATTCATGAGAGTAAGTATCCTCCTCTTAATAGGTAGAGTCAAGAAGACTCCCACCGGCAATCTCAGCTATTCATCGTAGTAAATGTACGTTTTACTATGTGCTTTGCAAATAGTGCTGCACTGTAAAAAAATAAAGCTCTTCATAAAAAAAATTCAGCAGAAAGTGTTGCAGAACCATATGAACTATTCCTTGGAAATAAAGCATGAGATGTTCGCATGGAACCACGATCTTCACTGCTCTTTGATGTGGCACTGGGGAGGCCAAAAATTTTCACAGCAAATCAAATTATAACTCGAATCTGCAATAAGACTATATCACTATAATGACCGGGAGTGAGTGCGAAATTCTCATCATGAAAAATGCAACGACGGATTGTTATCGAAATTTTCAAATACAATCTCCACACACGTTTTTGTTCAGTCGTTTAGAAATAGTCAGCTAAAGTGATTGAAATGAAATGCAGTCCGAAATTAAAAAAAGGTGAAATACCACGTAATCAGGGAGAAAAAATAGGTATTGGTCTCCCTGCCGGTTTCTGGCCTTTCTGGCGCCTCAAGAGTAGTGCGGTGGTGAATTAGCGGTATGGCATTCTTCCGACCTCAACTTTACGTGGTGAAACCCCGAAAAACTTCACCTGTATTTGCACATCTGTGAATAAATGTTTTGACGCATCAAGAGCAAGTAGTACATATCAAGTCCTCTTTACTAGTTAAAAAAAGAACAGATTATCTTTATGAGCCTACAATCAGTTGGCAACAGAAGCTCTAGACCCAAAAAACAGCCATCTGTCTGACGTACACAGGGTAGAATTTTATCTCCGATAAGTTATGCGTGTATAATAGGCTAACATTTTGTGTCCTGTCATTACACAACTTTCTGGAAAACACAAGATGTGCTTTTCAGTTCACACTGCTTCGGAGAAAGGTTGTTACGGGACTTTTTATTATCATTCAAGCGGAGGAGATTGCATATTTAATTCAAAGAATTTAGTTGTCTTACTGTAAATGAGTTTCGGCGCTAGTTAGAGTTATTGATTCCATTATTTTTGCGGTAGACTGGCTTCAAATTTAGCTTTTCCAGCTGCAGTGATCTGTGATGGTGTATGACGGTAATACGCAGGTCATCTAGAACATAGATTATGTACACACCACAGAGTAGTACCTCACACTCATCATACCAGTGCCTGAAGTGGAGTCCATCGGATATCAACCTTATTCGTCGGTCATAAAGAGAACATAGCTATCGGACGAGATGCATAACAGCAAAGAATGTGTTTGTCGCAATTTATTTAGTGATCGTATAAACCCACCAATCTGTTCGAAAACAATATGCGACTTGTCAGCGAGCCTCCTTCCACCAGATACTCATCCTGTAATGGGTTGCCGAATGCCAGTCTAGCTGTCTCGTCAAAATTGTAAGATACCACAGTGATCAGAATTTCAATGATGTAAATTATAACGAGGTGGATGCTTCGAACCTATGCAGAAGTCATGTGAGGAATGTAAAAACCCGAAGGAAGAGTAAAAAACGACCATCACATCAACCGCATGACATTCATGGCCAACTGTCTGCTTAAAGTGACTTTCAATTAGTTTTCCCAGATGATAAGAACTTGAGTTTTTATTTTAAAATGTTTGAAATTGTTTTACCCATTCCGTATTTCTCATCCACCTCAGATTAATTGACCTCAATTCCCAGCAAAACGAGAATATAATTCACTTGCTTACTCCGTTATTTAATTATCAGTTTATGTAAATACTTACTTTTTAGGTAGCTTCCGTGCCTAGCTGCTTAATTACCTATCCACTTAGTTTAAAACTTAGCTGATCGCGTGAAGCCTAGATGAGCGAATATTATTTTCATTAGGATGTCCTGTTTGGACCTTCCTGCATAAAAATGCTTGTTTCTGGAAAACCGAACTGGTAATGTGGAGGTCTGAATGATTCCGTTGACATATCAGTGCAGCTAATGGACAGTGGCTTGTGTCGTTTTGGGACTAGCCAGCGTTGAAACAGGTTGTGTCAGTTTGCTGCGACTTCTGTGCACTTTGCGCACTGATGGCGCCGGTGTGCCTAAGGAATGTGGGGATGCCGTAACAAGTCTTTAGATTTGAATTTATGGGAATCCTAATTCGATCGCTTCTCAGGTTGCCAGTTCACAACTCCGATCAACAGCTAAGTCAGTGGCAATCCGACTAATTGAAACCCTCATTTTGCCTTTACTCTGTCCATACTTCATCACACTCTACAACACGTTCTTCGAGTCCCACGAGCCCATCAGCTTTGCGCCAACAAAACCAGTGGAGCAATAGTTGCAAGCGTTGAATTGCCAGGGGATCGACCCTAACAGTACGTTTGACAGTGATTTCGTTGATGGATGTCCAGGTGTGTGCATTTGCCGTGAAACCACTGTCAGGACGTAACCAGTGTAAGAATAACGGCTAGTGAGCTCGGTGTAAGCCAACACAAGTTGTCTCTCTGTAAGTTGTAACAGGCAATGGCAGAAGCTTCACTACGTCCCAACATCTGATTCATCCTATGTAGGCGATAAGAAGACCCAATACTTATCGTGAAAAAATAGACCTAGGTAACACAAGGTAGGGGGCATCATGGAGTTGTGAAGCTTCAATAACACCGATGGATTTAAAAGGAATAGCCATCACAACTATTAAGTGAGATTACTGGAAATCAATGACGCCATGTTTTTCTAACTCTGTGTAAGGTAAGATTTTTCTTCTCTGGGGATGGTTTTTGCAATAACTCTCAGTCAGTGAAAGAACTTGATGAACCACAGTTTCTTCAGGTGAAAGTACAACAGAAGTGAACAATTTTCCGTTCCTAACAAGGAGGTTGTTTTATTGTAATGTGCTAATTGGAGCCTTCTAAATCTTGTGAAACTTCTAGGTCCTCGTCTGTTTATTTGTCCCCTGTGTGGAAAACAGCTGGCCCGTGAAAAGGGACTGAATCAGCACGTGCGCACAATACATGAAGGTAAGTCTCGTAGCAGTCTCTTACTAGTTGCCAGTATAAATCCTCTGCCTTCGCACGTTCGTGTCAAGGATGAGGTTGTTTGTGCTGATATTTTCAACTTCCACTGACATCTTATCTGACTGTATACGTGAGTACCATGCTGAGTCATATATTCTGAATGCCAAGTGGTTTATCCGGGTCTTCTCAATAAACTGATGACACCATCTTGAAAATATCACAAAGTCCTTCAGAGTTCGGCTGAAAATCCCTCCAATATTGCCGAATTCCGGCACAAAATTTCTGAAATTCTAGGCACTTAAGACCAAAACACGAAGGATGGTACAACACACGTGTCAACATATGGTACATATAATGTAGGATTATTTGAAACATACGTTATTTAGTGTATCGTCTTAAAACTAACTTGTTTACAGATGGTTGTTATTGTGAATAACTTCTTTGGAATCCAACAATTGTTCCAAATTGGTCTCATCTGTATTACCATGCTTAGCAACGAGCCATCTGGAAAGTCCATGGTAAAATATAGATCAGAACTTCTTTGTATAATTTGCGGAAAACAACCGTGTTTACGTTGGATGATTGAGTTAGCTCGGCCAAAAAATGGAGCTACTGCACGAAGCTGCACCTGTCGCCTTTAGAGAAGACATGTTTCGGAGACCGCATGCTAAGCATAAAATGTATTAGGTGATTACATAGTGTTTTGTATGAATGTAGGAATTCTTTAATTGGGGCAACCAAGTCGCCTCTGTCTTCCAAATACCTGAGCATATCGCGCTCCCACGAGCTAAGATCAAGTGGAGGCAGCATCGATGAATTAGTCATTTTACTCTGGCGGTTCCCGTGAGGGATACTTCAACTCTCGAGGAAGCGGCTTGAGAGGCATGGAAGTTTTCCACTGCATTAAAAGAAACCTTCCGGAACTGGGGATGCTATATTTCAGTCTCACAAGAAGAAACACTACAACACTACGTCCTTGAACCAGCTCTATTATTGTTTCGTCAGCAGATGCATCCATGATATCAAAGAACTCTGCCTGACTAGACTTGATTTGACTCAACTAATAATATAACCTTGAATACGTGCAAGATACCACTCACTGGGACATTTCATCGTTGTAGTACCGAAGAAGTATGGAAAAGCTGACGTATAAGTCAAACGATTCAAGGCAACCCGATAATTATATGGGTTTTAATAAGTTTCTGCTGTCAAGTAAGAAAACATTTTTAAGATAATTTTTCCTGGAGATTCCATTTGGCGTTGTCTGAACAGCCAAACTGGATTTCATGTTGATTTTAGTGACTGGGGCTGACATCCAATAGGCAAATTTATCATGTTGCCTTAGGATAAGTTAGTGACGAACAGGGGGGGGGGACACATGATTTATGAAGCGTTCAATTTACATAATGTGGAAGGTTCTATGAACGTCCTTCAATACACCGCGATTCAAGTGAAAGTTAATCATTCCAGGGCAAAAACATATAGTTCGCCTCCTATTGCTTACGCTTCTAATAGCAAAGACCTAGAGAGGGTACAATTTGGAATAGGAGATGAAAGATTATTGTACCTCCTAAGCACATGAATGTAACTAGAACTGAAACTGTTGAATCATATTCACGATCACTCGAGCGGGAATCAGCTGCAAGGATCTCATTTTCAGCTGTGATAGGTTACTCGGAACTGTTAATTACTTCCTAGGATATACATCTCCTGTTTCTTCCAAGAATGAAATTTAGCTGCTATCACATCGCTGCACTACTGGCCCTTTTTTCGAGAAAGTTTCTCCAGCACTGTTGTAGAACAGTGTGTTTTGGACAGGCATATTAAGAGGAGAGAGTCATCTTACATTTCTTAAACTAAGCGCTGAGCCTTGACTTTCACGATGGGGTATGAGGGACGCATGGAATATCTGACATTATTTAGGTTAGTGTAATGTCGGTAATTTCCCTCAAAACGTAGAATGCAGTACGCTGGAGATTATCCAATACTTAACCATTTAGGGTACATGTGGTTAAAGGACCCTCAGTCAAATCTAGATCAAAAGATAAAACTCGAAGTCGTTTCTCATTACAGCTACATATATAACCGATCGAACTCTTTTGGTTTGTCTTGTGCGAGGAAAGAACGCCAAAGGTAGCCAAAATATATCCGATTAGTAGTCCATGATCATTTCTAACAAAAAGTTCTTTCTACATTAACCCAGGCAACTGGTCAGTTTTCTGCTCTTTGTGCGGAAAAGGATTTATCAACCGCTGTCGACTGAAGAAGCACTGTATCAACGTTCACGAACGTGAGTTTACCCATCATCGTGGACATTTATGAAACGTTACTTATTCGATTCTACTACCATTATTGAGAGTCCTTGGTTATATCTATTACACTGACAGAAAGTTAAGTCTTAGATACATGTATTTTCAGTGAATTAAATAATGCACTTTTCAATTTCCTCCGGCTTGTTGTGCATGTAGATCAGTGGCTATCAGTCTAGTGTCTACGACGTGATTTCGCCGGGGTGGGTGAGGATGTAAACAAGTGTTGCCGGCAAAATATAGAAGGATTAAACCTCGTAGAATTTTCGGTAACAGTATTTCTACAAAAAACATCTGGATTGATTTGAATGTGCGGTGGACAGTGCGACATCAGATTACGGATATTGCGCCAATTCACACGTGTGAGGTAGCTGTTATAACGCCAGGGCAGCTGGAGAAGAGAGAGACAGAGAGTCGGTGTAAGAGCATTCCCGGATCTTCACACTATCACAAACTCTTGGGAGGTTGTTTGGGTGGCGATTTTCAGCGCACACGGATGACGTTTAAAGCAACCGGGATTGAAACGGCTTATGTTGGAAAATTCATTTCTGATAATTTATTGCCACGGACCCGTCTGTACCGCGCAGCGTGAAACTTGCGAAAATTCGCAAATAACGGAGATTGCGGGAAGTGAACTTTTGGGCACAAAATACTGGTGGCTGAAGATTCCGAGATTTCGGAAACTTCCACACGTGTACCTGTTTCCCTTTCCAGGTAGTCCTGACTTCCGTAACTTTCGAATATCAAATAAGTCAAAGCAAACTGAATGTTTAATTTGCCACAGACAAACAAAACAAAGCAAGTTGGACGATATTGTCGCTCATCACTCAGATATTTAGCACCAGTGCCTGCATCACCCAGTTTTAACATAGTAGTTCAACTTGTTTCCCTGCTTCTTGATGTTTCGCACATGTATTTCGTCCATTTTTCCGCTTGGGCTACATTGTGGGATGCCGCAGAAGTGATTCGGAGGAGTCCGCAAGAAATAAGCAATGTGATGTTTATATCGCATACTAAATTTAACGTATGACAATAACAATTTTCGGACGATTGCTTTGAGAGAAAATCCGATTGAGAGAACATCCTAAAACACAGCGAATGAGGCATACTATTTAGTTTTATTCCACATTTGACGTTTGAATTCGGTCAAAAAATTCACGCTCAACGGCAGTGTACAGCTCGTCAAGTAAATGCTCAGCAACATGCCATGAGAGAGAAAGTCGTTTGAAAGCCAGTCACACTGCTGATCAGCTGCCAGTGGGCAAAATGATTAGGTGCTGGCTGGAAAGCCTGAGATGCGCACCTCTGTTGCTTCCAAATGTTTTTGGCTTTTCAGCAAAGATTGATTTCACTGACAAGATGAGGTCTCTATTTAACACACCATGATCTGACCGTTCAGAACAGCTTTACACTTATGAAGTTCCCAGAGCAGTACTTTTTTGTTGGAAGATACTGCCAATCACCAGTGGGACAAATCTTTTGAGCACAAGTCCAAAATCGCAGGAACTATCGAAGGAATTCAGTGAGCGGAAATGAAACCACTCAACTCTTTTTTAAGAACTACAAAAGAGATTAGAGAATAAGAGCGAAGACAAATCTTAGGCGAAAAGTATGGTACTGAAATAGAGCAGCAGCAAGGTGTTCTGAGTAATTGCCTGGTAAAACAGATCAGGTAACTTCACGATCGCCACGCGAACAAACTATTTTGGTTGGTCTTATTTTCACTTGCTTTGGCGGGGGATTGTGCACTGTCATTTGACATTAACTTCTGGGTGCCTAAAAAGTACCTTTGAAATAAACGAGTCGCTCTATCTGAGGACCCAGTCCACCATGGCTGGCTCCCCTATATGACCGCATCATCGTATGCATGGAGAAAACATCTCGATCTGTCAACCCTTCAAATACGATCAGTGCTTTAGCACATCCGAATTTGCCCGTTTTTTCTCGGTGTTTTGTTGACAAAACGGGACTGAGTGCAATAAACGAAAAATTCAAAATTTCGGCGCATAAACCAATCAGATGAGATGTTTGGGCCAACAACAATAACATAATGAATTCGCTCCTTCTAGGTGCGGAAGACCAAATGTTTCGGAGAAGGAAACAAGAATTCATGGTAACCTCTCTATGGTTTGCAGCTGTTTAAGACTACTTTGATTTTTTCAGCATGATCAACATTAGTTGCTGTGCAACAGCAAAAGGTGATCACCCAACAAGACGATCGCATTTATACGGGTTAAAAGATTAAAGTAGTAGTACAACAAATGTGTCATGAGTTCATATAACTTTGTAAGCTGAATGAGTTTTTACAGTGTTTTCTTCCTCCAAATACTTGGAGCTGTCACCAGAATGGGTCATGTAGTTTAAAATATCTCGAGGGTTGTGCACCATTCAATTCTTGATCAAATCAGAATCATGAAGAAATCCGAAATTCGCTCCCTGTGACTGACCGTTCCACTCCTTTTGTTTCCACCTGCATATTTTCACTTAAGTCAGGCTTTAAGACGTATTTGAATCCTTTTGATGATTAACGGTTTTGTTGAGACAACATTCTAACTGCACAATCGAACTTTGTTTCTTAGGTTCCAGTCGATTTCCTTGTCCGATTTGTGACAAGGGATTCACATCGGATTCTTATCGAACGCATCACATGGAACTTGTTCATTACGGTACGTTCAAACTGTAGCAGAACTTTGGCGAATGGCATTGGTTGCGGATAATATGCATTTCACAGACCAACATGACATGTGTACTTCCCCTTGCTTCTTTGTTTGGTAAAGTGTCTTCTATCTTGGCCTGAGAAGTGTTCTATTTTGGACAGAGAACACGACTTCAGTTGAGCCTTATAACTGGTCTGTGGGATGAATCCTACCTGGTTGAACTAATTAAATTGTCTAAATTTTATTCGGTTGTGTGAAAATCACTGTTTGACCCTTGGGACTAGTGGTTCTTCAACCATTCAGCATATCGCCTTCCAAGTTCCTTCTGCACGGCACTGTTTTTTTGTTGGTATTGCCCAAACAGCAGAACAAGAATAATTTAGATGATAAAATTTCTTGTAAATTGGTGTGAAATACATCACAGCAATACCTTGAAATGTTTCGTTTAACAGATGACCAAGCAACACTCAATGTGCTGGATCCAGAGTGACGGCTATCCCCATGAAATATCTGGGATACCGATTTCGGAAATGTGGGTTCTGTCTCAACATTTGCACGAACTCTGTCCACAGTAGTAGTGGTGACGTCAATATGATATTTTCTACAACCACAAGCCACGATACGGCTTTTCGAACCTATGTTTTCTAATTTTTATAAAGCTACAGAGTAAACCTTCTGAACTATTTCCATTCTGATGGAATAACGAACCCACGCAGTTCCCATGAGGGCATAAGATTGGAAAACCTATTAGTTTCATTCAACAAACTGAACTGTTTGAAGGGCGCGTTGAAACACTAAGTATGATAGGCAGTCATGATACTCCCCTGGGGGACCATTGCTCTGGTTCGTTAGATCTTCATCTTCAGACATTTAATGGTACTAACTTCACCACAGTAGACCATTTTATGATACCAACGGTTTCCGCTTCAAATACATGCTGATTACTGTAGAGTAGACCTGTATCCTGAAAACGGATTTTACGCATGCGAAAGGAGTGGGTAGATGCTTCAAACACATGTTATTGATATTTCTTTTCCGTAACACCTCACTCATCCAAATCAGTAGGCCTGCATTTGGCTCAGAGGTATAAAAATAGCCAGATAACACAAGACGGCTGCTCAAAGCAACGTCAACTAACAAACGGCTGAGAAGCTCGGGGAGGAATATTTGATGTTTTTTCTATGCAGAAATTTACTTAATCTTACTACTGGTCATTAATCCAACAGGTCATGGAAATGAACGTGAAGCCAAGGCCAAACATCAGGTTTCTCCATTCTGTCCAGAAACACCTATGTCTGACTTTGCATCAAACAATCAGAGTCCGATTGAAACCCAACCGTCCTCCTCAGACGACCAGCCGCTTGATCTTTCGATGCACAAATGTCGCGCAGAAATGCCAGATCATTGCTTGACAGAGGCTACCAACCGGAATTCCTATGAGGTAGAGTCCGAATAGCTTAATTCTCAGCTAACTGAACCCGTTCAAATGTTTGGGATAATTTTATGCCCAATGAATGCAGCAAGACAGGCAATACGACTGTGTAGGAACGTTTCTGCCGCTTTCACCTTCCTTCCGTATTCTGGTATTTTGAACGTCATTTATGGTATCCGGCCTCTTCACTAATGTAGCATCAGCTCATTGTAAAAGGTCAGGATGAAACTTCTTACAAAGGTAGTTTATTGAGTATCAACAATGGGTATGGCCTGTAACGAAAATTTCGCCACGAACATCCGACACCAACCTGTTATTACCGTCAGGCAAATGTGGATAAGATGTTCATTTCAACTTTAGGTGCTTGATGAGGTTTTGGGAAGTAACAAAGACTAATTCCGTAGACCATTTGTAAGTCACTTGTAGGCATATAAAAGCTTTGAAAACTTCGGAATAATTATTAATAACCAGGACATCTCAGTTTTTCAGAAGCATAAGCTACTCGTTTGGAGGTATTCATTTGAGCTTGAGACCCGGCGATCCAACCACATCCCTTCCGCCTAAGACGCAATCTAAAGAACTATCCTATTGATAGCAAAGGACATCTTGTTTCAGTGTGTATGAAGGTGAATGGGAAATAACCAGCCTCAAGTGAAACGAAAGGTGGCTGTTTTTAAAGAGGAGATCAAGTCCACTTCATAAATGTATGCAAAGCAAATCACGACATTGTCGAATTTCATACTGAATTAAGGTACATCGTTTTTCTGTCCCCATTATGGTATATCGGCTACATACGGAAGAAAGCGAACAACAAATTTGACGTTGGTGTAAAGATTCGTTTTGGAGAAGCTTTTCTCATCTATTTGTCGATTTCACTTGTGTATTGGCAAACCCAACTTTGAAAAGTACAGCTGCCTTGATCAGAATGAAATCTCAGACGTCTTAACTGTTCCTTTTCCTTGACGGCCTACTCTGTTGGCCAAACAATGCATGAGAGCTGGATCCAGAATGAGATAAAACCATATTTAGTAATCCTCGACTATTCGGGAACACTCCAACAGCCGTTTCGACAGACACCCGCAAAGTTGTTGAGTTTTTGTTTGCGGTGTGTGAGGAAGTGTATTCAGGTTCGAGTGGGACTGAATGAACGCAAATTCAAAGACAACCTCTTGGATAGTACAGTACTGAAAATACTTACTGAAGTAGTTTATTAAGGAAAATACTCATAAGGTTTCTGAAAGATATCACAAACGAGCGATTCAACTGGGTTTCAGGAATGTCTCCCGTGGGAACCAAAACAAGCATCCAAGCGGGTGCATTGGAATAGTTTTTTCGTGTTAACTTGCTCGTTTATTTTGTAGTAAAAATTTAAGAAAGATTGGTTACCGGTGTTTAGTATAGTCATAGCGTAAAAAGGGGGATCGATGAGTTTTAACTTATCAGACGGTTGCCAAGTTAACATGTACAGTAGACATTCAGTGTTTGGTTTGTGGCGGAGGTCCAGCTCAAAACGTAAACAATATATGGCCTGTAGTACGTGAAAATGGGTCAACAGACAAGATGTGCTTCTCAGATGTTATTTCGATTGTACCGATAAGACTGTGTCCGAGCCATCAAAACAGAATAAAGAATAGATGCGAATACATCACAGGTAAACAGAACAGAAATGATCCTTCATGGTTGTCTCACAGCTTCTTTGAGCTGTATCCTAGCGAAAAGGAACGGAAGATGACCGGAAAGGCCATTCAGTCAGGCGTTTTTTAATGAGTGAAACAGAAAATGATTATTCGTGCGGTGCATTTTAGTGCGTTCTTCATCCTGATCGGACTCGTTAGGGGGATGTAGCTTTTGCGATTACTTCTCAAAAGTTAAAGGAGATGTCCTCAAATAGTGATTTGAGTCACTCTCCATATAACAACCATATTTTAACGCTAGTTGACGAGGAAAACTCCATCGGCTAACCAAAATAGTCAGGGCCAGAGTCAGTGGAAGTAACGTGAAAGTTATGAAAACTGCATTTTTATGCTGAAGGGATTCCAACTGCACGAATTTAGTGTGGACCAAAAAAAGTTTTCTGTTCATTTGGTCATTCTGTTGGGACATGTTTGTCCGAAGAAGAATTCTGTCTTGAGCGTAAGGACATTTTGTTGAGGAAGTTGTCAGAATCACGGGGAGAAAAGCAACAGCAGTATATTTAGTTTACACAATGCGCATTCCCACATATTATTCATCAACATAAAACAGTCACCAATTGGTTACTGGTCAAATTTTCTATTCCAGGGTGAGAGGTTTGTTGCCTGAGGTTCAACAAATCTTTGTTTTTTGGTTACAGTCGAGTTACTCTTGGTTTTCAAACTGTAAATTAGTATGTCTCAAGATATTCTTCTTGGGACGTACTTCCCACATGTCTCTCTGAAAACGATGACAAATGTGGGATTTGACTAGGGGCTGAAACACGGATTTTTATCCTGAACATTCGATGAGTTCAGAAACGCAAATGTGCGTTCTGTCCCTTATTCCTAGCACAGATTTACCCCCCATTTTAATATTATCATCCACTCTTCTACAAGTTGCTAAATTTTTCTCAAATTACACCATGAAGTTAGCTCACCGTCCACGACGTAAAGTTGAGAATGAATTATTCGTGGGTTTTATGTAGCCAGGTAGCCACTAGCGTTTGACTAACAAAAGAGGAGCATCTCCTTTTATGCCTACCTAAGTCAAATGGAACCCAGCAACGGGGGGACTATCTTTCACCTGTGCCGATATGCCATAGTCAGTGAAGCTATAGTGAACCAGCATTTGCCTAGGCTTCGGTTATTAAACTACCTCCGCTTCACTGGTTGTAGAGATGAGCCTGTCAGCTTAAGCCAGAATGTAGACCGAATTACTAAACAATGGACTATTCTTATGAGTGGTCATGCACCTGAGCGCAGATTAGTCCGCTGTATGTTTGTCAGTACAATTCCATGATGCATTGCATGTTGTGAAAATTCACGCAACTTTTCACAATTTAATTACACAAAGCTATTTAACTACCACAACCATGGTTTCAGTACTTCTTCGGTCGTTACAGCCTTTTTAGATGGTAAGCTGACGCTGGGGTTATTTCCCAAAGGACCACTATTTTAACCCTTCCACGTGGGCAGTGGTTAGTCGTACGACTGCAGACACCTTGGAGTTACTATTTCGCTTGCACGTTTTATTTCACAGAGTTGTATTCGATTTCTCAGCAGTGAATACTCATGAGAACATATCTCAGTGAGATCATAAACTCTGATCCCACAAAAAAGACTAATCCAAATTTTTCTAAATTTGGGCTGCCAACCTTCGGCGATAACAAAGCATTCTTATTGATGGTCCGAAATGGCCATCTGGGATCTGAGACCAAGGTGACCTCTTTCCAAGTACATTCAGGACGAAACTGTGCACCCTTATTCTACTCCCGTGATACTGAGAGGCTGCGCAACCTCGCATTAGTTGAGAAGTCTCCCATTAAGACTTGTTTCGGGTCAACTCAGAGGTGTGTATTTTTCTGTTGAAGGACGTTGATGTTAACTATCATGGCTCCTACAAGAGTCGTACAAGTGAGCTGTTATCGAGAACGTTTTGGTGCGCCAAGCCTCTGAGGTGTACCCAGCGTTGATAAGGGCAACAATGTTAGCTTCCTCGAGGACTACGGTAAACTTCAAGGTTCGCCTCAGTGCACATAGGCCATGTTACGAATCATGCATGCGGTGAATTCACTTTTCAAACCCACTATTTGGACAAATTGACGTCTGCCGAGCCAACCAATGGACCTGATGGATGGTCGCACATTCGGCTAGGCTAAACTGGGTGTAGAACAACGTCATTCCAGCTAGTTTCTTCACTCAAACTTTCAAAAAATTGAATCGCTACTGAATTTTGTGAAGAGATATCATTTTTTCAATATGTCCAGTAGTGAATTTTGCCAGATTAAAAAAACAACGGTCTCTTCACCGGGTAATACTCTAGTTGCTTATGAACTCATTGGAGGACTACCGAATACAATTTTCTCTGCGATAGATAATTCCCAGGTCTGTTCTAACGAGGTGTTGTATTTTCACCGTCAGGTTTTTCAGGTCACTTTTTATAGTCCGCCATCTAATGTGCAGCTGATCCTCACTATTCGGTGGCCTGGAAACAAGTAAACTTACTTTGTGAACTTACTTTATGATTTTACGTCGAATTTCAGCAACTTCAGCAATCTTCCTCCGAGGTGTCATCAACATGTGAGTTCGAACTTTCTTGGTTGCGGAGGAAACATGAAATTCAGTATTGGCTTTTGCAACAAACTGCAGGCGATAGTAAAAAATAAAAATAGCGGGAATGGGTTGCGAGAATTGTGATTTTTATTTTCTCCTTCGTACTTTATATTTTATACCATAACTCGGCACCACATCTTAGGAAATGTTAGTTCGCGAAATAAAGTATCCACGTTGTTGCTGCTCTATGAGTGAATGAGTCGATTTTAAATGCGAATACTTACGGCACTTTTCTACCCAATTTGGCGGATAGACCACAAAGCGTGGTGTGCAAATAAACTATCACACCAACCCACCAAAGTTGTCAAGAGTCCAACGAGCGAACAACTGCTGACGAACTTCATTGCTTGAACTTTTCAAAAATGCCTATTAGGACTGAGCAACCTCACGATACCTGTGTCCCTGTGATTCTTTCGAACTGTCCATAACGGAAGCGGCACCATGGATAAAAGCAGCTATGCAAATGATCTAAATTAGTCAGGGTTTGCAAACTTTATCTATGTGACTTGGTGTGTGTACGCAAGAAGCGTTCCAAGTTTGGGTCAAACCATAGGTCAGTAATGCCTGGAGAAGAAGGACTTTCAATTGTCGGACTTCTTACCAAACTTGGCCGTTGGTCTACAAACGTCCCATTATCATTCGAGGGGATATTTTCAGTCCACGGCAATGGAACGCTTCCACATCGACTTTCAAGCTCAGCGGACAGATCAGCCCACCAACCACTAAACATTTGCGAGCTGGAAATCTTCCAATTAAATGTCGAAAACCTTCATGTGAGAGTGCTAGACGCAAGTGCCAAGTCGGCGTGCGACCGGACTTTGACAATGACTTTTATCCCCAGAGACTAACATGTATACACATGCAGAATCAGTCAGCATTGAAACCTAGCCGTATTTAAGATGTGAAATAAGTTTCTAGGAACTGCTGTGCATGTCTGCTAGGTGGGCATGTGCAACTACTTTCCCGCTATTAGCCGAACCAAATTCGTAGAAAATGCCAGTTGTTTGGGTTGTACTAACCAAGATTCTTTTCGTTGTCCACTTTATTCTGGTGATTAACTTTCACTTTCTGTTTCGTACAGCCCGAAGTCCGGTGCCCACAATGACCGGCCAGAAACCGAGTGCTGATGATAACTGCCTCACGAAGGAGGTTAAAGGTATGTATACGTTGTCTGTGGAATGAAAGGGTTAACCGGCACAAAATATGCAACGAGTGTTTAATAATAGAGGTCATCAAGGTGCACAGAGAGCCAAAGAGCGATTCAAGAACAAATTCCTCCATACGTAACTGGTGGCATATTATCTCAGTCAGCATAAAGCAAAGGTGATGAGTGTCTGTAACATAAGTAATTTGAGCAAGTTTATTCTGAGTTTATTCTAGGTCGCTTCGAGAGTGCTAGAACATGTTTTGACCGAATGCAGTGATATTGACAGCACAGTGTGGTTTTCCTGGGATTCCTAAGCTTTTTCGAACGTGACAGTTCACGACGTTCCCCGTCCAATGACTTGTACATCCGCACTCTGTTGGCACCGGGACCAAAAATGCGATAAAATTGCACCCACATTAGAGATGACCTGAAATTTCCCTCTTTTTCATGAAATGGAGTTGAATTTAAAAAATTCAAACCCAGTCCGATAGCGACCGGGTTCTCATGTTATATTCGCGACACATCTGGTTTTCCGCCTCTATAGGACTACATTTGGTTTGTTAATTTTCATGGCGAATGGAATTCGGTGCCGCATATATCTATTCTTGTATTATTGACAAGCTCAGCTTGCGAACTTAGCTTCATCGGTGAAACTTAAACCGGCCCTAACCATGCACAGTTCTTTCTGATTCCTCCTAACAGGTGGACGACATAACTGTACATATTGTGAAAAATCGTTTGCGTCCAAGGAATATCTCCGGCTTCACGAAGCCACAGTTCACGAAGGTGAGTTGTTCATTAGTCAAGGTAGCGTGATATTGATCTTCTGCTATTTGTCGGCTTTAGACCACATTAGTCAGTCATGTGCGTTCAAGAACCTCAGCTACTGAATGACCACAGAATACCTGAAAAAGGATCAAGCTTCTTTTACTAGGTAATTTCCGTCGGGCTGACCGAGTGACAACGACCACCTTCAGCTAATCCTAAGTGGCTGTACTTTATGACCATTGCCTAGCCTAAACTTCTATCAATTGGCCTAAAGAGAATAGTTGATTTATGTGTAACACATGTTGCGGCTGGGGCTTTAAGAATAGAATTAACTCTGCTCTGACACGTAGATAAAGAGGTATAATGTTCGGTCAGCGCAGGGAACAGAACGATGTAATTCACCTCTAACGTTCTACAGCACAGTGGACTCCGTTGACCTTTGGATACCACACGGTCTAGGTGGTGCCTGCGTCCCACAAAACGTTGTCTTGTACGTGGAGGATCCCAAACCACATTCTGGGACCGGTGGTTCCAATCAAGCGGACTAATTTCTGGCCTCAAAGCATCCGAAATCCTATCGGAATTATATGGAATCAGTTCAGAGTTTCAGTGGCTGTTTCTGAGACCATAGTCAAATTTGCTTATATGGGACAATAGAACAGTACTAGAATTTTTCCACAACTCGTGATGGCGTAACCGGAGCAAAGTAATCCATAGCAGTTGGAGGACATCATAAACGAGAGATTCAATTGAGTCTCCGTGAAAACCATGGAGGATCCCAAACCACATTCTGGGACCGGTGGTTCCAATCAAGCGGACTAATTTCTGGCCTCAAAGCATCCGAAATCCTATCGGAATTATATGGAATCAGTTCAGAGTTTCAGTGGCTGTTTCTGAGACCATAGTCAAATTTGCTTATATGGGACAATAGAACAGTACTAGAATTTTTCCACAACTCGTGATGGCGTAACCGGAGCAAAGTAATCCATAGCAGTTGGAGGACATCATAAACGAGAGATTCAATTGAGTCTCCCGTGAAAACCAAATTGATTTGCAGATGAATGTATTTCTCGAAAACAGTCCAATTTGGGTTCTAGTAGATTATAAGGTTGACGGAAACTCGGGGACTGCGCCTCCCTGATGAGCCCCAAGAAGGGCGAAACCGGTCGTGGGCTGTCGAAGAGTTTTCAGCAACCTTGTGAGTAGTTTCCTTTATGAAAAAAATCCACAGCATTCTTTTTATTGTGTAGACTTTCCCCATTAGATCTTTCATATGAAGGGGATGTTCAAGACTTTTTACGAGTTAAAAGCGCTTCCACTTGGTTCGTGGTGTCCTGTCAGTCCTCATATCAGTTGGCAGATTCTTTTGGAAGCCGGTTTGAACATAAACCGACCCCCCTCCCCGGGGATTCCTCGCAAGTTCAATTTCATCAGCTCATCAGTTCAATTTCCGAAGCAGAGAGTTTCCAACATTCAGGCAACCACATATCGAGCTGACGGTTGTCTATTCAGCGGAACTACGGTTAGTGACGCCCGGTAAACACCCATGGACATGTTTATCTCCTGTCAGAAAAAAATTCAGAAGGAAAATGCTGGGCAATCTCTGTGAGCAAAACTTCGTGCTAGGTCTGTTTTTTTCACCGGTCGGTGTCTGCGCCTTCCCAGCCCAGTATTACCGCTCGGCTAACGCTACTAGTCTTATATTCCGAACTACAATGGAAGAGTGACATCGGATGGAGTAATCGGTACTTGGAAAAAGACCATTATAATTTTATAATACGGCGATATTTACCCTCTTTCATTGCAGGCACAAAAGCTTTCATCTGCAGTGCTTGTGGGAAGCACTTTTCAGTTCATCAAGCATTACGAAAGCACTATATCATTCAGCATGAAGGTGAGTGTAACTAATTTTACTCATTACACAAGAAGACTGTACTACAGATCGTCGTGAAATCACAGACTTTGTATCACCCACTGATGGTAGATAAAGGCTAAAAAGGATTCCGGGATTCACCGTTCACCGAAAGGCCCACAAATATAACGCTATAAGAGACAGTGAAGGAAGAATTACGGCCCAGCTCCTCTAGTCCGATTAAAGTGGCCATTTGTCAACAGGATTTCTTCGACACTCATTGTCTCATAATGTGTTTAGCATCATAGTTTAGCTTTCATAGACCTCACGTGACGCTGTCGGGGTTTTAAAAACCTCACTCCCTAAAGACTTAATGCGTCTTAGAAGAATTACCGGGTGGGCTAACCGCAAACGAAAACACCCAAAGTGGGTAGTGGGCAATTCATTGCCAAGACTAATCGATTAATGGAACCTGATAAGTGAGCTACAGCCATGTCGTAGCCTGAACTCCATTTGACCGACACCGGTCCTTATGCATATGAGTTTAAACTAATTAAGTTAGATGACGAACTTCCCGGGCGAGCCTGTACCCGTGAGCATCCTGTGAAGGTCTTCGCCAGTCCAGATATTAAGTATGACGAACTAGTGGAAAAATTATCCAAGACAAATGAAATAGCAGAGTTGAATGTCCCGCGCTTATAAGAAATATGACACTGACTCACTAGAAAAAAGGGGTCCTGACTAGAACCGGTCATGTGGCTTAACCTATAGCTTTCGCCAATTGAAATATCGACCTAGGGCGCATGTTAGAATAGAAAATTTAGCCGCATATTTTAACTTGTTCGCAAAACATCTTTCTTTTCTACAGTGTAGATCCAATGATTAACTTTACATAATTTTTCTTCTTAACAGTGATTACCCTAAGGATAGTTACTATTTAATCAGGGAGCCTTTTTCTTGTGTTTCGTGTAGCAGAACAGTTAGGTTCGTAAGGACTGTGGTATGAGGTATTTCGAATGCTGAGAAAGGCAACACAGTAAACAAAAAAATGCTCCACCATCTTTAGATTTTATACTCAGCTGCAATTAAGGGGCTGTCCGGTTTGTGCCAGTTCGGTATGAGGCACAAGTAATTATGGATCTGTATGTGTCCCTTTTTCTGATACACATCCAGCGAAAGCGTCTGAGTGGAGAAATTGTATGTTTTTGAAATGCTCTGGACGCATCGAACAGATAATTTAATTACCGAGTTCTACTGAGCTTCATATAATTGCATTCGCAACGCCTAGTGAATGAGTGACCTGTTCACAGTTTCAAAAAGGGTAATCGAATTTTCCAACTACCGTCTCACTCCGGAGGCTTGGGAGAAGTATATCACTAAGTGGTTCTAGTCTACGGCGGGAGTCTGTGAAAATACACGGGATTTAGAGGTTGAATACGAACTGTTTACAATAAGGGCCTGTGATGCACGTAGCGTTGGCGCCAGTTGATGCACGCCCTTCTCATCAATTTTTTTCGGGGTATCAACCGCACGGAAGCCAAAAATTCGAAAGGTATGGCTTAAAAATAATAATGACAAAATTCCACAAGAGTCGGACATTCAATCCAGTAAATAGTGATTTTTAAACGCGCCCGAAGTGTCAGTGGAGACAGGTCGTCTTTCAAATGTCAGCGGCTTGGCAATTTTTGAACAAACAAAAACTTCGACAGGATGTGATAAAGCGTAGCGTATGATGGGTTGCAGTGGTGAGCCCGCCCCTTACACAGTTAAGGAATACACAGTTACACACAATTACACAGTTACAGAATACTTCAGTCCGGACAACCTTATAAATTGCAGGTGCATATGGTTCACTTCTACGTATCATATGCCCCCGAATCTCGTTTGAGCAGACTCAAATCGCCCTCTGTAAACAACGTATTTGTGCATTGCTGCTAATGTTTGCTGTTTGGTTTCGGTGATGATTTCCTACATTTTATTCCGGTGACTCCATTACTCGGCACATGGGTTGATCATTCCATTGTTTATTCTTTCCGCTGGTCACATAACTTCGATTCCATTCAACTGCAGGTGGGAAACCGTACCGTTGTCGTGACTGTAAAATGGAATTTCGAACTCGTGCGACTTTACGGTCACATCGTTCCATGACTCACGGTAAGCTGCTTACCGCAACCATGCGCTAATGGTGCTTACTTTTAATGCAGGCCTGGTCCCCGTCTGCCGTACTTGATGAATACGTTCCACAGACCGAAAGATTATTAGGTGAGTACTTAATAGGTGATGTGCTGTTACTCAGCAATACTACTCTACATTTTCAACAGTTGCAGATGTTTAACTTCAACAAATATTTCAGCGAAAGCTATGAACCAATTGTTCCCAGCTCTCAATACCCACCAATTTTTCTACCAAGCACAACATACTTTTGTGTGTAGTGTTGCGTAGCGGTTACCAAGGGTCCGAGTAAGATGTGTTACTGCTCCTGATCCATAAAGCCATAAGCGATGTGCGTGTAGCGCCAAACCTGTGTGCAAATGGCTTATCGAACACTAGCAATGCTCAGGTCTCCCGTGGTTTGATCCAAGTCGATGGGTAGTTGTACCTCAAAAGATCATTTCATCGAAATTTCTAGAACCGGGTGCTGGTTTGTCCAGTAGGATGCTAAACCTCTTATTTATTATGGCTTGCACCACCAGTGCGCCAGAAGAATACCACAACAAACCACTCACTTACTTAAGAATGGCTCCGAATTTGTGTTGTGATACTACGAGTGATCCGTGCTCAGGAGTCCATCACAATGGACTAGGATAGTAGGTTACGGTCAGACCTAACACGTACGACGAACGGCTCGCAACCAACAACATAAGCTGTGCCCTTCTATTCATTCCTATGCCATGGACTAACTAGACCGAATCCACTGATCGGTTGCCCCTTCATTTTTGCGTACGATCGGTGTCATATATCCCTAGTTGATCGAGATCTCCACGAGCTCACATGGTTACAAGGAACCTTAAGAGACGACAAACCCTTCCGGTGTGAACACTTTGACACTATGCAGAACAGGCCTCCAGAGAGAACGCTCAACCAAAACACGTGCATGTAGCGCTTCCTACGGATATTCCTCGGTATCCAAATCGACCGGACGTGATAAATCGCTTGAGTTGAACAACGACTGGATAGGCATGACAGCAGCCTAAGCACCTGTTATTTATCTTACTCAGCAACAAGTACTAAATTGAGGAAATACCTGTAACTGACCTAGTTTCCTGGGTCGCGCCACCATGTCAGTCGAAGATCTCTAATTCTGAACCGAATCGGCCGATTCCAAGTCCGAGAACCAGCAGCATCGAATTTCTTCGATTTTGTGAACTCTGTTCACATACAAAAGAGGCGCTAGCTGAGTAAATGATACTAAGCACTAATCAACAGATAAAGGTTGGAAAATAAAAGAAGAAAGCGCTTTAGTGCTCCGTACACGATAACAGTTGCACTTCCACGACCAATTTTGCGTGCGAATTGTTGTGATCTTTAAGATTGCAACGCTGAAGTGGAAAAGCTGGACCACCCACTGTGCTGTTATTCACCTTCAATTCGTTTTGGTGAGGCACGCAAATGCCAGTGGGGTAAACAGCTGGAACTGTCTACTAACGGATCACGCACTTGATCCCCTGTACCCGATGCTCAAGAGCAAGTTTCGTGTGACTGACCTTTTCGCATTCGAGTGAATGGTTTTTGTGAAAATAGTCAAATCGCGCGCCCTATGCTTAATAACAGCCAGCTGTTCCATGACTGAACTGTTAGATTTAAAAGACGTAACCATCCAAAAGTAGCGTGGATAAGCCGACAACTCATGTGCAATGCGTTAATCCATGGTAATGTGGAGACTTAATAACGATAAATAGAGATTTCATCCCGTCAATGAAGCCAGTCTATGCTGCTCTGCCTAAGTGCGAGCCTGTCACATTGCCAAACGGTTAGGTAACCACTGGCCTACCCGATGCTCAAGAGCAAGTTTCGTGTGACTGACCTTTTCGCATTCGAGTGAATGGTTTTTGTGAAAATAGTCAAATCGCGCGCCCTATGCTTAATAACAGCCAGCTGTTCCATGACTGAACTGTTAGATTTAAAAGACGTAACCATCCAAAAGTAGCGTGGATAAGCCGACAACTCATGTGCAATGCGTTAATCCATGGTAATGTGGAGACTTAATAACGATAAATAGAGATTTCATCCCGTCAATGAAGCCAGTCTATGCTGCTCTGCCTAAGTGCGAGCCTGTCACATTGCCAAACGGTTAGGTATTCAACCACTGGCCGGCAAGTTGCGCTTTCAAAACTGGGTTCCATGAGATTCACACCGCTGGTGATTCCAAAAAGGGATGAAACGGCTATACAGTGCTTCTAAGTTTTTCAACATAGATTGGCTTCACTGACAAGATGAAATCTCTGTTGAATCCTCTGGTCATTTACAAACACATCCTCCTCGAAGTACTGAGGAAAAATCCAAGTGAGCGTTGAATATCATATATCACACGTCTTGGGACATGGTAATGCTAAGATCGATGATAGCCCAGAGTGGCTGAGTTGGTAGAAAACATCCCATATTTATTCTGCCAAACATAATGGCTATCGCATTTCCGCCTCCTATCGTTTCAGGTTTTCGCGCGCAGCCTGCCAACGTGATATCTACCCTGTTATTGTTTTTTTCTCCAAGACATCAGTTTCTTCGCAAATACAATTTTATCCCAGACAAAAACGCCACAGCGAATTTCCTTCTACATACCAAACTGCAACATTTCGCGGCATAAGTACTTCGCATCGAGCCTGTTGTGGATATTCGCAGCACGAAAGGGTAAGCTTCCAACTAAGTGAACGGCCCGCAAAACCCTATTGAAAACACCAGTTTACCGCAGTTTTTCTGCTCGAATTCAACATAGAGCATTCAAATTTCCAAAAACATCTTACATTTAAACGGACCAGTGAGCTCCTAATCAATTCCGATTTCGGTTTAACGCGGAACTTCCAAAACACTGCGGTACGTGCTGGAAGACATTAATATTATCTCTGATTCGCACCTGAAAAGCGCAATGTTCACGGATTGTACTAATGGAACACTGAAGTCACAACCGTAGTGCTCTTGGTTCTGACAACTACAACAATCTGATTTGACTTCTGCTGATATTAGTAGGTTAGGGAATCACGTATATGTATATGTATGTATGTATATATATGTATGTATATGTGTGTGTATGTATGTGGATATGTATATATGTGTGTATGTGTATGTATGTATATGTATATGGGTGAAGTGAACATCAAGTTTACTGTGGAGGTACTTGCTTGTCAAGTTGTTGTCGAACGGTTTCCTGCCCAAGCTCTCTGGTAAGGAGTAGGTGTACAGCAATGTAAAACGGACGTGGATAGGCTTTGGGTCTGTAGTTCAGGGGTACCCAGCAAGTGCCTCAAGGTCTTCCGCATTTGGGATACTAGCACAACCGTCTACTGGCTGACCAGAATGCACACGCGCAATGGAGTCAGTTCAACTGAGATTTCATCCCGTTTATGAGGCCAAGCTATGCTGATGAGCCGAAAAGCAATGTATGGTTATCTCATCCTTAATAGGAATCACCAGCACTGCACATCTTACGAAACTCACTTCCCATTTTTCCGCGAAAAATAAGTCTGGGGAATGGCACCTGTTCAGTGACTTCTGGCCCGGAGGGTAGACTTCCTTGAAACGGCTAATTCCTGTTTCGGTAGAATGCTGACTGACGGCTTTTGCAGGAGTCGAACCTCGACAAAATCCCATTGAGAACTACCGACAGCAAGGAATTAACGTCAGGCTAAGGGCCGCTTGCGAGCTGGTACGTTTCGAGACAAAACTGACACGATGGAATCCTAAAAACGAACTTTAGGTTGCAAGACTGACCCTCTATTCTGGTTAAATACGCTAATAAGACGCAGCTTCAAAGGCTGGTCTAGGAAATGTAAGCGAGGCGAATAGCCGATCAAGTTGGTCTTCCAATCTCGAACAAGCGAGTAATGTCGATTCGATCGGGTAACTAAGTATCGCGTTGAAATCTAGCGGCTTCCAGCTGAGTTTTAACGAAACACGGACGGGTACACAGTCATATGCAGCTTTCTATTTGCAGTGTGAATCCGTCATTCAGCCTTAGAAATACCGGAATAATAACAAATCGTAGTACGATTGCAGAGTCATTACCACATGCATGGAGCACATACGTCATACGAATAGAATGCTTAACATATCACGGTAACCACAGAATAAAGTTGGCAAAACATGTGGACTGTATATCAGACAAATCTATTAAGTGACCATTCAGAACAATACAAAAATCATAAGCAATTGTCGGAAGTGGCGTGAAGTATGATCTCACTTGTGAAAATATTTCATCGGGTGAAAAACGATACGTTGGAAAGAAAGTAGCAAAAAATGATAATCAATTTTGACTAGAAAGGCTTTATTTTGTTTGTCAATAATCGTCCCAACCGGGCAATGGAAACTGTGAGGCGTATTCACTCACACGACCACGGAGTTCTTTAACCCGCGCACTAACTTTCGGATCCTCGACCAAAGCCGTCCGGAACGTCTTGATGTTTTCTGTAGTGAAAAATACGGCAGGTGCCTTCTAGGTAAAGTAAAGTCAATTGGATATTTACAAGCTGTCGATAAATGATGTGCGTTGCGCGCTCGATTCCGCTGAGGTGCGAACTTAATCATCACACTGGTCTTCAGTAGTTGAATAGGATAACTCTTTGCACAGGGTATCGATTCTGAGCACAAATGGAATGGAGACACCAATTTCCGGACGAAGTTGAGTATGCGAGCTACTTTTAATCATTTTCGGTGACCCTGAAAGGCGCGCTTTGATAAGCTCAAATGTTTTGCAGCTGAGAGTATTTTGATGGCAGATGGTCGGACTCTTTCTCAAAGTTGGTAATAGCAATAACCTTGAAAGAGCTATAGAAGGAACGTTTGATACAAGTTAGTTAATTTTCAGGACATGGCCTAGGCACAGTTTTCTACACAAAGTACTGAAGCTCACACCTCGAGAAACTTCTGAACCTCCTAGTCGAGGTGTCTACCGGATCTAGTCAGCAGTGAAAAAAACCTCAACAGCTCGGGTCACACAGATCAAGGTGTAAATACTTCGAGCTAAACATTGAAAACAAGACGAGACGGGACGTAATAGCGTAAGATGGAAAGCACACGAAGGATAAAGAGACAAACATTGGGGATAGGGACAAAACTCGCATCTCACCAGACAGGTACTCTAGCAGTTACTGCTGCTCTATCCACTCAACGTCGTACCCCACAGCTACTGAATCAACAACTGAAGACAGCGCGGCGAATTAGCCACAAAGTTAAGTTCACGATCGCAATACGGTGCAGCTCGGCTAAAAGAGTCCGCCAGTAAATGGACCGCACTCTCAAATTCTGTTCTCAGCGTCTGTCCATACATATTGAGCACCTTTCCATCTACATATCAACTTAGAAACAATTTCACCGGGAGCAACTTTAAGCCTGAACTGAATGACGTTTGAATGATTCCCGTGGCGGAGCCTCTGAATTTCCATAACTTGCCAGTGGTAAGGTAAACATCGTTTCAACGAGATTGAGTGAAGTGCTCTAACCATAGCAACATCGCAAACCAAATCTAAGAACTTAACCGACTTCATTTTTACTACATTTTCTGGGACAAGGAAATTACACATGTACATTAGGAGGATGAGCGATATAACTGCCCGCCGAATGAACAGATACTATAAACTGTAAGGAGGAAATGAGTTGACTCACGTGAAACCGATTTTGCTAGCACAGTGATATCCAGCAGCTCCTCCAGAAATGCAGCCACTTGGTTGAAGTCCTCTTCTTTCAGACCCCGAGAGGTGAGAGCAGGGGAACCTAATATTTGTGAGATATGTGCAGGAAGGACAAGGGAAAAGGTGTTTTTGTAAGAAGTGAAAAAATCGGTTCACCAATGGTAGAAAAATAAGAGAAGTCATCGAACAACTCCTTTCCTAATGGAATCACATTGTGTATGGTAATTAGAATAAACAGATGCTTTAAGATCACTTATCCAATAACATCAATTCCACTTTTTCGAAGTGAGGAATAAGAAGGCGGCACTGTATTACTCTTTTAACCCTAAAAAGGCATTCAGTGAGTATCTGGTGAATCGAGACGTTTCCAGCTTTAAACAATACTTTCAAACGACTACTGGTTGCCAAATAGTCCGGATACAGCACCATCAACCGTCACAGAATTACTCGAAATACACATTGGGTTCCAGATGCGTCCGTCTAAAGAGTTCTAGAAAACATCGATATACGGTTACTGGGTCCTCGCTCATAAAGTAGTCCGGCAAATAAGCAGCTTCCAACATGCAGCAGATTTGCAATGTAAACTGACGTTTGGTTACTAACCACTGCAATAAAGTATTTTGATCGGAATTAACTGGAGGTTAGTGAGGCTTACTTTAAATCGTCCAAGAGCGAATCTCCTATTGAACGTTGCTATAAAAGTGAGGGGAATTGCAACCTCATGCATTCAGTTGGCACCCATGTGACTTAGAGGGTGCGCTGGAATCCGTTTCTAGATTAACCTGTTGCATCGAACTAGATCAAAGGACGCTGGTGCACAATGGGTAATGCCACAAACGATTTGAACTGAGCCGAATACACACACACCTGGAAGAACTGAATCCGGTGTAAACCCAAGGTAATAAGGCAGAGGGTAAAAAGGATGAGTAGTTTTAAGGTCACCAGAATGCCAAAGTGGTTATCCACGACTCTAGTAAATAAACAGTTGAGCCCCACGGAGGCATGCAAAGGGGTATTCGGTGGCCCGTGTCACTTGGAAGACGCCCTAGGCACACGTGTATGGACGGTTAGTGTTAGACATCATTCAGCTTGGTCTACACAACGATGTTCACATAGAGTTACCTCCAGCGGGTTCTAGCCGGCGGTCTGTTGAGCATATAGTTGGAGAGCGTGTAGGGATCACAGTGATTTGGCCTGTCAGACTCAGGCGCATTGGCGTAAGATATGAATTGATGACAAGAAGTCCTGTATGGAGCGTTTTATTGGTGCGGTCGAACTGGGAAAAACCATGATCCAGTTTCTCTCCGGTCGAGTGACCATGGAGGCCAAATGGAGGCTTCTTTGGTCAGCTAGCGGTGTGGGTCACATCATAAACGAGAGATTCAGCTGGATTCCAGGTGAGTCTCTCGAAAGAACCAACTTAGTTTGCAGATGAGTGTATATTCGCCAATTTCGTGCAATTTGGTTTCAAGTAGAACATAAGGTTGAAGGAAACCCGGGGACTGCGCCTACCTGATGAGCCCCAAGAAGGGCGAAACCGGTCGTGGGCTGTCGATGGATTTTCAGCAACCTTATGAGTAGTACATTACAAATATACATGTATCGCGATATTTCAAATATCGTAGCGACTGAAACATGAGGCGGCCTGGTGCAGCACATTCAGTTGCCTGAGAACATCATAAACGAGAGATTCAGCTGGGTTCCAGGTGAGTCTCTCGAAAGAACCAAATTAGTTTGTAAATGAGTGTATATTCGCCAATTTCGTGCAATTTGGTTTCAAGTAGAACATAAGGTTGATGGAAACCCGGGGACTGCGCCTACCTGATGAGCACCAAGAAGGGCGAAACCGGTCGTAAGCTGTCGATGGATTTTCAGCAACCTTATGAGTAGTACATTACAAATATACATTCGACATTTCTTCAGTTCCACTACAACCAAGGCGATGGGACGCTTGACCAGCCAACGGCTAACGAGTTTCTGGGCGCAACGGAATTTCGAATTTACCTGTAACAGACAGGAATTGGCATAGGCTGTTATACCACCTCCAAGACACCCAGTCTAGAGGAGAGGCTGCGACTGCCTGGCCTCAAGAGACCGTGCCCTAGAATGCCCACACACAGCCCCGAAGTTTCCATGAGTAGGATATCTATTGGTATTTTTCCACCGTATTCGGTAACCGGGGCATCGCCCACAGTAAGCCACGTACCATGGTGGTACAAAAAACCTCAAGATTACCTTTCATTAGTCCCTTTTTTCAAGCGAAAGGACAGCCGTGCGCGCCCACTAAATAGTAGACAAGCTTGTTTCAAATAAGGTTCACGCCTGAACTGCAATTGATCTCTAGAGGCCGGCAGAACAACTACTGCCTCAGAATCTACCCGGACAACCCAAAATGCATGGCATCTCAGTTAGCACATATAACGGTGGTCATAGTCGGACGATGGCAGAGGGCTATCTACCGCCAGATTCCTGAAATAAATTAGACTGACAACCTGATGACAGATGTCATCGGCTTTTCTGATGGGACACCTAATGGGGACGTACGACAAAAGTGCTCTAGAAAAGCTTGTCCTATTATCATAAGGAGCATGATAGGCCGTTCCAGTAGTCCGTACTGGAAATAGCTAGGTGTCGAGTTTGAGTGGTCTGCTCCGCAGACGGCGTCCGTGTGCTTTTATTCATCACCGGCCCAAGAGGTTCTGACTGAGTTCAAGCTCTCTGAGTCGTTCCGGAAGCGCAGTGACGAGGAACACACACGTTTCGTGTGGACACGATCCACATCGTCCATAAAGCTAAGGTAAGATGGGCTACAAGTCGGCAACCCCAATCCAGAGCACCGACCGCGAAACACACGAGGCCCCGTATCATGTACACTAAGACAGTATGACTTCACATAATGCATGCACAACTATGTCCAAGGTAGCAACGAACACAAACGTACAACTTGGAAATCCAAACTAGTGGTGACTCACATGAATCTCCTATAGGCTCAGGAGGCAGTACCTACCCGGACGGCACCGAGGGCTGTCTGCCAATTAGATACCAGATTACCAAAACTCAACACAACAAATGCATGGCGCGCAATGGCATAATATGCAGACAGAAATCTGCATAGAATATCAGTAAGTGCACAATAACAAAACATGGATGATAAGCGAGAAAGTAAACAAACATACCTAACCGCAGACCCGATGGTTGCAGGGCGCTTTTGTCTCCCAAAACGGTATTCTTATTCAAAGTTATACCTACAAGGTCCGAAACCAACTGTACACGTGCTCCGTCTCCGCGACTGAGACCAGGTTTACCTGGAGAACGTGCCAGGTCCACTAAGACGAAGTGAACATCAGTACCGCCAGAGACGAGGCGAATCCCACGTGATTGAAGGGCCTCGCCAAGTGCCCGTGCATTCTTCAGCACTTGTTCCGCATAATCAACGAAGTCTTGGCTGTCTGCCTGAAGCGACAAAGTGTGACGATGTAAGAAGGCACAGCAGTGAGTACACACCTCCCCCTACTTTAGCTGAATGATTTGGGCAGTTACTAATTAACCCCACTTGGAGTCTGACGAACATTCTAGTGGTGATCCAACAGATGTGCTGAAACAAATAGAGCACACGTGAGTCCGATGCGAGCCTATATGGAGGTGCTTGGTTTTGGTAGCTCTTTAAAAACAGGCTTATCGCATACCCAGATAATCAGCGCCAGAGCTGAGGGCGTGCAGATCGTTCCAAAAAAACGGAAATCTCGGAGAGGAATAAAAATATCCATAGTACAGTGACTGTGATAGCCAGTACCTAACAACACGATTGATCTGAACAAGCGGTTCTAGAACTTGCTCAACACCAAGACCCCCTTAAAACTACTCCTATATTCCGGGACACTGAGCACCTTAAACCCCAACCTTCTTTACCCGCTGGCAATAGTTCTTTAATCTGGGTCTAGTCGGTGTTATAATAACAGTATTACGAAGGCTGCGTCCGAAACATGATGACTGAACTACTCACTGGGAGGGCGGCCCGAGAGAACAAAATACTTACCGAAGGGCTCAACTTGTGAGTATTTCATCTGGCTCACACACTCTTGAAAAATGACCACAAAGTTATTCATGGAAAAGCTGAGTCGACGAAAACGGACGAATATCGAGGAATCAGTCATTTTTGGACTGCCGACGAAATTCTGGTACAAATTGCCCTGAAAAAGCTGAACGCTTGCGAGAAGTAGGAGGGGCATGATTTATCAACAACTCAGTCGCAAAAATGTTGTAAACGGAACCTACACTAGACGTAATACATTATTCATAAGGTTGCTGAAAACTCTTCGAAAGCCTATGACCTGTTTTGACCTTCTTGGGGTTGATCAGGAAGGCGCAGTCCCCAAGTCTCCATCAACCTTATATTCTACTTGAACCGAAAAAATACCCATTTGCACATCAATTTGGTTTTGGCGGGAGACTCACCTGGTACCAATGACTATCTCGTTTATGATATAAATCCCGATCGTGTAGTTCAAGAAAGGATTCAAAACAGTGAACAGGGATCGGCTGCGAGCCGTAATCAAAAGGCTCGCTGCCAAAATTACCACCTACATTACCGGATTCTTTCGCTACTCTGTGAAGACCGGAAGTACGCGCCTGTAAAACTGCTTCTTTTAAGTTGAAAATTGATGCAGAAATGAAACAAGGTCTTATTCCGCCTATTAGTTTGTTCAGTCCGGATCTGAGTACGACTTGTGTCGGGATATCTCATGATGCTGAAGACGATGAACAGACCCAGTGTCGTCCATATACTGATCTTTTCAACTCGACACGTTCCCTGACCAAAGTAAAGCTGCACGAATCAAAAACATACAAAGCTTTTTGCAGACGAAAGTGCTTTGTTTGCATATTTAGATTTGAAAGTTCTGAAATGCGGTACAGTAATTGCGTCCACAGCACTTTGCCTGCATTTAAACATGCTTTCGCAACACCTACTACTCATCAGCCTGCACTCAGTTCAAAACAACAGACAACCTGTGTTCAGATTAACGGTTACAGCATACCATATTTCGGAAACCTCTGCCCTGTTCAAAGATTTAACCAGGGGTACTGGACCAGATGCTCGGCTTGCTAAGGCAATTAGGGTATTTGGTCGCCCGTATAAACGCTTTTGGAGCATTCAGAATTTGCGCAGACATCAAGTTGTCAGATTACACGGTGATATATGAATCCGATACAGAATTGATGGACGAACTAAAACCAATTCTGATGTCCATAATCATATCCCGAACCAACTCACTTATGCCCGGTTCGAGAGTGGAGCTAGAACTCAATGATGGCAAGAAATTTCAGACAAGTTTGAAAAAGTTCGGGAAAAGCCAACACTTGCTGGGCCGACCTGGTAAACTGCTGTCTGTACGGGGGGAAATAATTCTGGAGCATATTTGAGTTACCTACGGTAAGTCAATTCTTGCTTCCAATTGACACGTGCTCCACTCTACCGTTGTACTGCATGACAGTCCCAGCAGCCATAGCACTACCAGTTTACTGCATCGCTATCCATACGGTTCTGCATTACACTTCCACGAAAATGGAAAACTCTGATCTGGATGTTGACCATTATGTGTGCCAGGAATTTGCACGCTATTTGAAAAATCATGTGGAACGCTGCATGCAACATACCTCCAGGGCCATGGCGGCAACACCCGCAATTGTATTCTCATGCGGTCCACCTTGAAGTGATGGAAACACAGCATTGTTAATCCGTGACTCAAGTTCTTCAGTTGCAACATGAGGAGAGGCCGGTAATTTCCCTGACGACTGGCGCGATATCCTGCGGTAAAATATCATTCCAGATCTTGGTCCACGCAAGGTTTTATGTGTTGTGGAACTGACTACATCAGCGTACTCGAAAGGTGATGGGACTACGCGACCGGCCACAAGTCCAGAAATATGCGACATATCAGCGAGAAGAATAGCTCCAACTGAGTCACATATCTTCAGGTTAGGGTGTAAAGAGGAACAGATGGAAGAATTTCAGTACAAAAACACCTTCAACAACTGGAGTTCCTACCAATAGAAAGAAGAAACTTGAAGGTATGATGCAAAGAAACATCATATTGCCCAACGACGGTACACACGAAGTCCGTTAAAAAATACATTAGACAGGAGAGCCAGTTGTACTTTCATCCCATATTTTCAGTGGATAATTCCTTTGAAGGTCGTAACTTTTTGTATCGTGCGCTTCGCGCCTAAATTTCACACGTAATCACAAGATGAGTATCAGAAGATGACTAAACTGTCACAGACACCTGAAGAACTCAATATTGGTCAGTTGTTGGATGCAGCAAACGCTGAGCTATGTGAGTAAGCATCAATGACAGGGGCATTTCCGCCCTAAGTTTCCAGGAGGCCGATCTCAGTAAATGAATGGAGGAGGCCATCATTGTATTACCCTGGAATAGTATTGGTTCCCTTTCTTTCCCATTTTGGCCTTGCTCATCCTTCATGGATCTTAAATAAGTTGACCCCGCCGTTAGGTCGTGAAGCACTGATGTCAAGTTTCAATCAGGACATTCATGACAAATAGGCGCTGTCTTAAGGATTGTGTGCATATTACTAACTAGGTGAATTAAATAGGTTATTCACCAGCTGAGGACATTCTAGAAGTCCAGGTTGACAAATACTCGAGCATTCACCCTAAATTTGCTAACTGGGTTTCCCTGAATCGATCAGTGTATTGTACCAATTTCAATCATGGGTTGGCATTCAGTCCATTCATGTTCAGGTGAAGAATGAGTTAGCAATCACGATATTACATCTTTTCACACTTGAAATTTGACTAATGAGGTGAAGTCGGGAAAAAGAGATGGTGGCACTTGATCGTCCCTAAAATTATTACTTTCGGCGTTATAGTGAAAAAAAAACGAAAAACTCCCTTTGATGACCAGCTGCTACCGCCATTCACGGAATAAAGAAACTCGATCAGGTAATAAGTCGCACTATCTTCGCAGTCATCAGAACGACAATCGGTGAGGAAAACAGCTTGTATGTCAGAAAACAGACTCGTTCCGAGCGACCAATGACTATCTGGGACCTTGGTACTTGTCACCCTTAAATGTGGTACTTATTTTTTATGGATATGCCAGCCTGGATTGTGTAGCTTGTAGTATGTAGCCGTGTTGCATAGGCACAAACACACTGTTTCGGTGATAGTGTGGAGAAGATGGCATCGTACCGCTAAGCTGAGTCACGCGGTAGACGAACTGATGAGGGGAGATAGAATAACGTGAATATGTAAGTGTAAACGTACCTAACTGAAGCAATGGAAAAATAGGACAATGATTATAGATAAGAACAACTTGGCCCATCAGTTGTGAAACAGAGACAAAAGAATCAAATGGGGATATGACGTACATGTCTGAACCGTGCGTAGTCTAGTAACCGTGGATAAGCAGTTATACCCGCTATTATCAGCTTCGGATAGAAGTTCAACGCATCCCTCTCTAAGGCGTCGTAGTCAATGAGTTCGGTCTCCGGCTGAAACATAAGAAAAACTATACATACGAGGGAAAGGTTCACATTATAGTCAAGAACACAATCCGTTGTGTCCGCTCCACACAACGTCCGCACTAACCATAAAATCCCGATCTCCTTATCATCAGGAGTGCACCGAGCTGAAAGGGCACTCAAAACAATAATCGTTCAGCTGCATTATCCTCTCTGTGCCTAGCTGCCATGCCACCGAAGAAAGCACGAGGGCTGGGATAATGCCAGTTTGCCCAAGTCTAGACAGGAGCAGTCGAGATGCAGAGGTTGGGTCTGAAAAAGGGACCTTGCAGTCAGTAAATTCGCACTTTAAACACTCGGTCGGCTCGAGCTCAAGCAAGAAAATACAGAAAAGTTCACTCGACAAGAGACATCCCAATAAGAGATACCAGCTGGTGACCTCCTGGAACGGAAATGCATCCGCTTGGTAACAAGTACCGAACTAAACGTCCGGAATCTTGCTTGTCAGGCTTTTAATAACTCCCTGAAACCGTCTAACGAGCAATCGGTTCATACAAGCATCCATACAAGTAATTGCCACTATTGTCATCTTGTTGCTGCGGGCGTGATGGATATAGAGCACCGAAATCAAGTGGTACGCCATTAGAATGAAAATAAGTGCCCTGTCAATACACAGAAAGCAGCCACTGATCATAAACCTTATGGTCGTAATGTGCTCTATGGAGAATGAAATCAAGTAGTTCAGGAAAGGTAGTGTCCTGCTGAGCGCATTAGCCTATTGTGGACATAAAAACGGCCCCTCCGTGTCCATACCAGAAACACTGCAATTTCTGACACTTTTGCGGAAGGCGGAAGATTTCGGTGATGAAGTGAGCTACACTGAGTGCACAAGCATCAACGATCGACTCGCAAGATCCAACGAAGTCAAATATGAAGCTAAGCTAATAAAGTATTTACCGAAGCAGTACGCTCATGGAGCGAACGATCGCAAACTGTCTAGCCGGAGGACACCAATTTAATTCTTCGAATGGCAATCAGCACAAATACTGTGCCCAAAATTCGGGAGATACTGAAAATAACACCAACAATTGTTGACGGTATCAGGTTTGGGGAGATATATGACAATGCAACATACAACTATCGGTTAACGTAAAACATCATTTCGATATCAAGCGTTCAGGAGAAATCGAAAAGAAATACTAAGTGGTCACATATAGAATAAAAAAAATCCATCCCTTGTATCTGTGCATTTTATAATGCCACTAAGGTAAAGAAATGAGAGTTAGCTGAGCGTAAATACTGGGCGTTTGGACCTAAATCCGCAAAGCCCCAGGAAACTCCTGGTGTTTCATATCAGTGCCCCTAATTGATGGGTTTTACTGTGTAGCTGCGGTGAAGCCAGTTAAACCGGCTACGTGGATACACTGCCCTTGAATCATTCGGACAGATTTGATCATAACCGGTGCGAGGTGTGCACTCAGAATTCATCACACAAGTGTAATATAGTGAACAATCAAGGTCCTCACGATGAGAGGATCCAAATGTCACCTACCAATATGGGTTTTCGTATGCGTGCGTAACCATGCGTAGCCAACTCAACCAGTCAAATAACTGAAACGACAACGCAGAATATATGGTCTACGAGAAAAAACGATTGAGAAATATAACCAGCCCATTCAGTTCCTGTTAAAAGCTTTTCCTCAAGTTATTAGCAATGCAGCTATTCGTCTTACAAGTCACAGAAAGTGCAGACTGTGCTTAAAACGACGTACAAAAATCAAACCGCTGAATCTAATGCACGGTACTTACTCAACCTTATTATCCCACCCCTCATGTGACTGTAAAAATGCAGTCCGAAACACAGCCCCCACTCCAAAAAATAAATAAAAGTTGAAGAAAAGCTGGATGCAAAAAAGGAAGACAAACCGGCCAAAGCAAACACTGTGAACAATAGCCTTCACAACGCAACAGAGGATCCTATGAAAACATTTGAGGAATAGTCGTAACCGGATCTAGTAGCTGTATGTAGAGATGGGTGAGGACTTGGCGTAAAACGTACATTAAGTTTGTAGGGCATTGATTCGAAAAAAATGGACGTCGCACTGATTTTCTTCGTCAGAGTTGCAAACCCATGTGTTAGGTGTCCCCCATCTGGTAAATAAAGTCCCATCAGTCGATCGTGTGGATTGAGAAGTCCAGTGTAGACAGCCAGGTTGGCGGGTGAGCCACTATACGGCTGAACGTTGACACCCCAAGTAGCTTCTTCCAAAGACTGCTCTGGCTTTTTTAGCCTGAATAAGTCTAACAACCGACTTTGAGCCAAGCGCTCCACTTTGTCGATGATATAATTTCCACCGTAGTATCTAAAGGGGTCAAGATAAAGAGCCGAGTTATCCTCACTCAACTAGTTGAATGATCAAATAGAATGTTAGTAGCATTTGAGTGCTTAGTGGAGTTGTTCTCCTTATCGATGACCGAACAGGCGTCAAAAGAAGTGAATTTGGTAAAGAATGAACTCCGGATGATGACAACAAAATATATAGCCCGATGGTCAGAGAACGAAAATGAGTTGACGACTCAGAAAGTCGCAACAGCTTCATCCCGCGCAGACACACTTACCGGCTGCCAGGATAGCCTTCGGCATAGTTGTTTGTCAAGCACGACCCCACGCATTCCAACACGCTACGACCTGTGAAATTCTACTGAAAAGTGAGTAACGGTTTCAGTTCACACCTGCGAGGCGATTAGTTCTAGGCACGTCAGTTGGCGCTTTTTTTCTTCAGAAATCAATGTCCATAGAGCAGGATCTCTAACTTTTAGTGGCTCCTTGCCAGTCCAAGAGGAAAACCGGGTGTTCCTAACCTAAGAGAAAAACGGTAACCATGAACTTCATACGAACCCAGGAAATTGGTTGGCGAACAATACGCATCCGATGCAGTGGTCAGAAGTGCTTTCAAACAAACGGTGTCGGGCGCTAAAACTGAAGTAAATTGTAGGATTTCAAAGTATATCTCCAAATGGCGAACTGGGCTAGCTGTGTCGGAGACATGAAACCTCCACACGACGGAGTGATGCGAACTTTTGCGGCAAACCAGAGAAAGGCAAAAATAAGGAATGTATTACGTTTCACTTTCCTAAGCTTTAAACGGAGTGACAATGATCAGCAAAGTTGATCTGCAAAACCAAAACCATATTCCGACTGAGTTAAGTGCCAGATGTGCATTATCGTATAGGTAACATCATTAGAACATGTGTTGTCATTTGAAACCAGATTACGAAAATTGCACTGTATGTTGTTTTGTTTGGACAAGGCAGCTCGCCAAAGAGGAAAGGGAGAAGCAAGTTTATATAAGTTGGTAAATTCCAAAAACGGGAACCAGTGGAGCCCACAGTTTGTAGCAAGGAAGGTTCAGAATGACAAACAGCGAATCGGGGTTAGGGAAACATCGAAGTAATCGGTTTTAATCTAAAACGGCAAATTTACAGCAAGTGTCTATCGAGTGTCAAGATTCGTGCGCTTGTGAGCTTTCAATTGGGCACTTCTTTGTTACGCGATACATGGACACCCAATAAGCTGAACACGATCGAGAGAACCCTTCAGCTGGTAGCTTCAGAAGAATAGGCGAACTCCCACAAACAACATAGTGAAAAGAACCAAACCCAGTGGCCGCTTGAACAAAGAGTGCTAGTCAAAACGGTCCCATCTTATGACTTCCTTATCTGAGAGGTGACAAAGTCACTAGGTTTACGCAACCAAACGGACCGTGAACCAAAGATTTCTCTTTTATTAAGTCTACCGTCTGCCCACAATTTGTTATGCTTACTTAATACCGTTCGAAGTACAATCCATGTACAGTGAAAGATGAATACCATCCACCGTAAACATGCCATCATAGTGGAATATAACACCCAACCTTCATCCCGGGAAGATCAGCTCTAGCAAGGGCGTAACCAGACCACAGGATCTCTGACGACAACCACGTCTTGAAGTCGGGTAAAAATACATCCGGAAGAATTGTACATTCGTAATAATCACCCGAAATCAAACGCTGAGACACGTCGACTGGTCCGTGGCGCATTTTTCACGCAAAACGCACATTTCGGATACCAATTTCACCACTGGTGGGTCGATTTTTCAAGTCCTCTACGGCTTTTACCATTCTGGAGCTCGAGAGAGCTCAGTGGCTATGGCGCGATCTTACTGACCGCAAAGTTCGTGGTTCGAACCAACCTCTGCATCTTGACTGCTTCTGTCTAGGCTTGGGCAACCCAGCTCTCGTGCTTCCTTTGGTAGCATGGCAGCTAGGCACATCAACTTTGTCAGCAAACAGTGGCAGCAAACGCTTCCCTTTGTGACTACTTTCCTGTGTTGACGACATAAACGCCTATATTTGATCCGTCTACGTGATAAACTCTTTTACTCGCAGCTCCGTTTTGACACCGGACCACAACAGACCAATTTGGAATCTGATTTTTCTAAGGTGTGACGCCGCCAGAAGAAACAATTATTTCGTATGTAGTCTTACAGGCCCATACAACGAATACATCACTTGTGCATGATGGATTACAATGCTGTGTTGCATTGTTACATTGTATTGTATAAAGGCTCCTGCCGATCTCAATGAATATTAGACCACAGATTGCTGACCTCCAGCTCAAAACCTCTGCCACAGCGACAACAGCTGCAAGTCAAGGATTTACAAAAGATACCAGTTTGAAGCCGTGACAGCTAAAACTCATGGTTGGTTTTTATTTTTATTCGGATCTAATAACTGGATCGCCAAGTGTCCAACCATATGTAAGGGAATAAGTAGGGGTGGTGCGCAAGTTTACCGAAAACACGCTTAACCAGATGTTACAATTGGAAAGAGATTAGCTGCAATTAGGCTATTTATTTAGTCATCGATATATTCTAAGCATTTGCTTATTATAATAATATCACGCGTGACACAAATAACAAACGATCCTCCTTGTTGCTCATGGTGCTTCCACGCTTCGATGAGTTTTTCACGAACATATACTTGCTCAGGTAATTGTCCCAAGATGGTTCCCGCGACTATTGGTGATTTATGTTTGATATATGCAATCGCATATAATTTGAATGACATGAACTGTTGACCTGGACGCTCGGGAATCTGCTCGGAGCACATACAGTAGGGTAATCGATTCCTGTGTTTAAAATGAGCGAGTGGGTTTTCATTGCGTGAACGTACTCATACGTATCGGAGCACCACAAAAATTATTCGTTTTACCTTCCAAGTAAACTCGTGTTTCTGGCAACCTAGTGGTTAGTACATATGGGCGCAAAAGCACTTTACTGTCAGAAATATGACCCATTACTTCAAAATGACGTCGCATGCATACGATCCTATGAGGACTTTGCCTTCAAAATGCCCGCTTCGTCAAGAAGCACCACACCCACGTACCAACACAATGCTGTGAGGTTTGCCTGTGGCACGGAGCTACTAGGCCCCCTCAAGAACTGGATATCAGACCGAACGGTGACACTGCTTGAATTCCGGAGAATTACCCCAGCCAGCTCCGAACATAACCTGACTAGACGAATTATCAAATCTCAAGTGGAAGTAAGCGCACGAGCCGACCGTGAGGTCTGGTGCACAGGGAAGTCAAGGAAACGGAGGAGTTCCAGAAGGCCGATAATACCCGAAAATTATTTAGGTTGATCCACACGACTAGTCACCGGAAATCTACAGTGGGAAACCACCAAGGATAAGAATGGAGTGAAGAAGATAAGAAGGTACATGTGTTTCCCGGTGAACTGATCCGAGTAAACCCATCCTTTGTTATGCATTTTGCACCCACAAGGTGCCTGTGGACACGCAGTCACTGAAGGCATGCAATTCATGCACCAGCCAAAATTCTGATTGGTTAGTTGTGCGCAAGCCAGGAAGCGCGCGCGTTCAAACTGCATTTGTGCACAAGCCAAGAAAAAAAGGGAGCTAAATGGTCAAAGTGCATAAACTAAGGAGAGGTGAACTGTCAGTGCAAGCGAGAAAACAGCTGAAACAATTTGAAGAAGTTACCTTGGGAGACCCCTGCTTCTTCGCGCGAAATATTTACAATTTGACATTCAAATGGTGAATAGGTAAACATAACATCACGAAACGCATCCACGTCTTTAAAATTCCATCCACCGACCTTACTTTCTTCACACAGCGTGTTTCTGACCGCACGCATCACTTTTCCCGATAGAAGTTTGGCAAGAACCCGACATCTGTTTTTCCACAAACCTCGATCAAAACTTAGCCGTAGTCTTGGATATGTATGCTAATCATGACTTTTCGCTCTCAGAACATTAAATTGCCTTTATCTTAGTTGATCATATTTTATGCTGTACAAGACCCCCAGTAAAAGTGGTAGTGTCCTGTGGAGAAGCGTGCTAGCGGGGAAAGTCCAAACGAAATTGGACGACGCCTCCAGGATTAGAACCGCGGAGCAGCAGGTCCCGCGCACAAGACTATCACACTTGACCACAGGGGGTCGTTGGTGCAAAACTAGCCTCAGCAGCTTACCTCGTATGGAGTAGTCATATGTTATGGTATGGATCACGTGAATCGGACCAGCAACCCATTTGCTTCAGTTCGGCTTGTGCATGAATCGACTTCGTCCATTCAGTGACTGAGCGCACCAGTTACAATCCAGGGAGAGGCACTCAAGGTTGCGGTGCGTGTTGCGTACATTCAAAGTTGTATTGGTTCTAAGTGTTGGGTTATAGATGCGACCGTTTACGGTGCAGTGGGATGGATGTCTAGTTTGACTGGGTTCGGCGGATCGAATTAAGCTGTTGCTGTTTGTTTTTGATGACACAGTTGTGCTGAGAAGCGAATAATCGTATATTTCTGTTTATGGATATGGGTATAATGTTGGTACCAAGTGACACGCTATTGCCATTAATCTACACAGCAGACTCCCCACTTCGCCGATGGCTCTCTTGAACTCTTCATTAACATAGCGGTCAAAAGTCACCCTCGGTCGACAACGGTTTCAGTTTGTGTTCATCACCAAAATAGTAGCACTCATTGCCTGATCGTTCTGGTTTTTGGTTAACGCAACCTGCAGCTACTTATAGGATAATGAGCATACCGGTCTGATTTCCCCTGCACTCCGTTATGCTGCTCCCAACCACATGGCCCGTTTGCATGCTCCGTGCAAGTTGGGGAATAAAAGAAATAAAAAATAAAGGGATCAGACTGAATGATGAAGCATGAGAGGCGTACAAAAAGAGGCCTGTGAAGGAAACGTAAATCAATAAATGCATGCCACTAAAATAGGTGATTTAATTATTGCGAAACATAACCTGTTGCATGTTCATGGTTGGAAAATACAAAGGTTGAGGACAGTGCTGTAAAGCGAGGCTTAAGGAAAATACATTTAAAATTTGAAGGGGGTTTCAAATATGTCGTGAATAACAATAAAAAATGCAGCCCAACGCTATTATGGAAATTGAGTGGCTGATTAGTAGTGTCTGTCTTTTCTTAGGTATTTACCCTCTGGTCAATAAGGTGATGGCAAGGGTTAAACTAGGATGTCACTGAAAGTATGCTGATGTGGATAAGGCAGAGATAGTGCTAGGGATGCTGGAAATGGAGAGAATAAGAATGGAAAATTAGCCAGATTATTCGTGGTTTTGTGCACTGACTCAACATCGTTAGTAGGAATTCGAGGCTTTCCAGCGCTATATTGTCAAACCGAGTCACCAACTCAAACATGCCCGCAATCTCCCATGGCATATTGTAAAAAAGTGGACAAACTCGCCAAAACTTGTTTAGCTTTTGCGAGTTCATGGATGTTAAAAACCGCCGGGCAGATTGGCCATTTCGGGGCTCTCAAACAGAATGTAGATATGTTTGCATGTTTACTCTCCAATCGAGAACGGTGAGGTTACGTACGCTGGAATGAAACCATGGTATTTATTAT